TTAGGCTCCCTGCTCAGCAGGAAACCTGTTTCTCCCCCTCCCCCTCCCCCTCCCCCTCCCCCTCCCCTTGTGTTCCCTCTCTCGCTGTGTCTCACTCTGTCAAATAAATAAATAAAATCTTTTTTAAAAGTGTTATATAAAAGGAATCAGAGAGTACATATAATCTTCAGAGTTGGCTTCCTTCACTCAGCAAATTCCTGGCGATCCATCCAAGCTGTTGGTTGAGTGTATCAATGGTTGGTTCCTTCTCATTGCTTGGAAGTGCTCCAGTACGAATGGACTATGGTTTGCTTAAGCATTCGCCTGCTGAAGGAGACCAAGCTTTAAGCTATTACACATAAAGCTGCTGTGGACATTTGTGTGCTCGTTTTTGTGTGAACATAAGTTTTTATTTTTCAGGGCCAGATACCCAAGAGTGCAATTTTGGGGTCCTACAGTAATTGCATATTTTTTTCTAGAATAAATGGACGGACTCTGTAGTTTCCCAGAATGGTACCATTTCATCCCACTGGAAGAGTGGAAGTGACCCACATCCTTGTCAGCATTTGTTGTGATCACTACTTTTTTATTTTATCCGTTCTGATAGGTGTGGAGTCCTAACTCATTGTGGTTCTCATGGGCATTTCCCTGACTGCTCATGATGTGGAACATCTTTTCAAGTGTGTCTTTGCTGCCCATAGATCCTTTTTACTGAAATGTCTCTGCATTTCTTTTGCCCATTTTCTAGATGGATTGTTTGGGTGTTTGCCACTGCTGTTTAACTCTGTTATCCCCCACTACCTTCTCCTTCTTTTATTTCTTATTCTTTCAGTGAACATTTGTTAGCGTGTACCGTCTATCGGGCATTTGGAATACAGAGAGAAAAGACAAAGACTTTGCCCTAAAGGAACTGACGGTTTTGAGGAGGGGACAAGTAAGCAGTGGGGTTCTGTATAGGAAAGGCACCTACTTCCTGTCAAGAGAATCACTGAAGCTTTCACTTCCTGGAGGAGGCAGCATCTGATCAGCAGGGGAAGCCATGAATATGTTTATTACACTTGACATGGATTACAGTTGACCCCTGAACATCATGGGTTGTACGCACTCGTCCGCTTATACATGGATTGTTTTGATAAAGATAGTACAGTACTATAGGTGTATTTTCCCTATGATTTTCTTAATAATTGTCTCTAGCTCACTTTATTGGAGGAATATAGTATATAATACATACAGCATATAAAATATGTCAATTGACTGTTTATGTTATCAGTGAAGCTTCTAGTCAGTAGTAGGCTATTTGTAGTTAAGTTTTTAGAAAGTCAAAAATTATATGTGGATTTTTGACTTCACAGGGGTTGGTCCCTGGGTTATTTGAGAGTCAACTGTATACTGCCATTACATTTGAGACATTAATATAGTAAGAAGCATATGGTGCCTTCTGAAAGCCCCTCCGGGTATCTTTCTAAGTAATTCATTATGGGAACTTGTCATTAATTCCAGATTAGCAAACACTGAACACAAAATACCATCCTGGGTTCTTGAAGATTCTGAGATAAGACAGCACCCCAGACCCCAGAGATGTATGATCTAATGGGCAGTGGAGATTCATAACCAGCAGAAAGTTGATCACAGAAGCACGCATTTAGTAACACAGTAGAGTGAGGAACTATCATTAGGAGGTTGGGAAGATTTCTTAGAAGAAGGAGAGTTTGAGTTGGCATTTGAAAAAGGAGTAGAACTTGAACAGGTAGATATAAAAGGGACAAAATTTGTACATTCCTAGGTCCCTGCATGGTGTAGATTGCCACATCCCCTTCTTGCTCTTACCCACAGAGTTGCTTCTGAGGAAGGGTCCTGGACCTAATGTCAGAGTCCATGTTTCACTGATGGCTCCAGCTAAAGAGATTGCTAGTGGAAGTCGTGTCTAGTTTTAGGATGAGATCCACAATCTAATTTTAGGCTGTCTTTCATCTTACAGATAGATGGACTGAGACCTACAGAGGATCAAATTCAGCCCAGCCTTATTGCTCCTGCTGGCCAGGCCAGTGGATATGTTTTGTCTAGAAAGTCCCCAGCCCAAGCCAGAGAAATGGTGTGGATTTCCTGCTATGTCTCTGCTAAAAATAAAAAATTGATCGGTGAAAATAAAGTGTTACACAGTGGATGGGGAGTACTTTTTATTTTAAAATATTGCTGTTTATCTCCTTGTAATTGGTTTAAATCTCCCTTAAAGGATAAAATTTTTACATATACTCTGAGGTAAGCCACATTTACCAAGTAAGTAACTTATAAAGTGTCAAGAAAAGATAGAACAAACCAACTTTAAAGCTTCTGTTTAGTGGAGATGAGCATATGTAAGAAGCTGGAAGATACTAATGAGACGGGGGAAGAAAGTCGAGTTTCTTCTCTCAATATGAGCAAAAGAAAGGCAATTACAAACTGTAACATAAACAAAAATATTTTGTAAGAAAGTCATGGCCCAAATGTGTAGCAAACTAAAATATAGCATGATTTTCAGAAATTCATGAGTGTACTAAAGGATATTCCAGCTGCCACATTCTTTTTAAATGACACAAGTCAGAATACTGGATCTGTAGAGAAAGAAGTTGTAGCCCTTTGCAGTGAATGACATTTACCTAATCACCCTATTATAAGTGCTGTTGACTTTCAGCTTTTAGAACCCACATAAAATAGGAAGACAAATACGTTTACAGAACAAGAATGGAAATGTCATCAATCTCAGCAGTGTACAAGCAAAGTAGGCAGAAGCTGAGGATTGGAAACAGGGAGGAGAGGAAGAAAGCATGACAGGGGCTAGCATCCTCATCTTATACACTGGGAGGTCCAGACGCTGTGCAACACTGATGAATGAGGAAGCTGAGGTTTTTAGGTTTACTACTTAAGTTACAAATTTGGTAACTAATGGAAAAATTAAAGAATATAGTTTGGCTATTTGAAAGGATTCAGGCACCTGGGTGGCACAGTCGGTTAAGCGATCAGCTCTTGGTTTCAGCTCAGGTCATGTTCTCAGTGTTGTGAGATCAAGCCCTGTGTCAGGCTCCATGCTCAGCATGGAGTCCGCTTGAGAACCTCTCCCTCTCCCTCTGTCCCTCTGCCCCTTCCCCCCTCCCACACACACATTCTGTCTCTGTCTCTCTGTCTCTCTCTCTCTCAAATAAATTAATCTTTTTTTTTAAAGGGGGGGGTACAGGATATGCCACTCTAAACTATGCTGTTTTGACATATTGATGGTTTTGAGCTAAAGGCAATTGGAAAACAGCAGATGTGGGAAGGCCTTTCTGACCTCCTCCTTTCTACCTAAAATCAGGTCATTAGATTTCCCACAAGAAAAGTGCCTTCCCTGCACCAGAAAGAGAAGAACATTCTTATCACCAGAGACTGGGAGTTAATACTGAAATGGACCTATACACACAGACCTACTAAAATAACCCTTATCTTCCACTGGTTTCCCTCCTATATTTCTTAGTCACTTTCCCACAATTTACTGCCCCCCCCCGTCCATGCCCCTTTGTCTTGTCACATCTCCAGAATTTATCGTTCTTTGTGTGAAAAAGTATATAAGCTTTTGGACCTAACAACTTCTTTGGGTCTTTGTTTTCCTTTTAAGGACTCCCATGTATGGGTACAAATAGTAAATCAAATAAATATGTGTGCTTTCCTCCTGTTAGACTGTCATGTCGCTTAATTCTTAGGCCAGCTACAGAGGGCCTAAGGGCCTAAAAGGGCAGAAGGAAGTTTTCCTCCCCTACGATATCAAAAAACTGAAAAGTGGAGAAGTGGAGGGGAGACGTAAGTTCAATCATAATTTTTCAGGATTGGCAGTCAGTTGAGAATATCTAAAGAAATAACAGTGTAGGGGCGCCTGGGTGGCTCAGTCGTTAAGCATCTGCCTTCGGCTCAGGTCCTGATCCCAGGGTCCTGGGATCCAGCCCCACATCGGGCTTCCTGCTCGGCGGGTAACCTGCTTTTCCCTCTCTCACTCCCCCCTGCTTGTATTCCCTTCTCTCTCTGTCTCTCTCTGTCAAATAAATAAAATCTTAAAAAAAAAAAAAAAAAAAAAGGAAGGGAGGGAGGAAGGAAGGAAAGGAAAGGAAAGGAGGAAAAGGAAGGAAGGAAAGAAAGAAAGAAGAAAGAAAGAAAGAAATAGTTTAAATATATTGAGTTAGGATGATAATCCCCAGAACTAAATACAGCAGAGGCTCTGAGTGATGAACTCTGGGAAGTAGTATGATAAGTGAGCAGGGATTAGGCAGAGATATAATTTTAATGTCATATAAACAATTGCATTAGTAAGAAGAAATGGGAAAAAAAGTTGTAGTGACTGGCAATAAAAGTTATTCAAAGGAGCAATATGACAATTAGATACCCCAGGGAATTCTAATTAATTAGTTTTGAGATTTAAGCAAAGAAACACTTCAGTGATAGGAAAGTACTCAGTGTAATTGCAGCTGTTTCATTACCTAAAATTTAAAATGTAGCCTGTAAGGATTTTAATTTTCCTATATTTGTCCTTGTGCACGAAAAAGAACTAGTTCAACTCTGACATAGATATGTGAATGCCACTTTTGCTAAGAGAGATCCTGGCTGTTTTTTGAGATGAGACAAAAGGAACTGCCTTGAGGTATATCTCAAAGATGTAAAATCTCTGGGATAATCCAGAATTTAGCCCATTTAATATAATATTTAAGCTCTTTCCTTGTGCCAAATTTTCGACGTATTTTTCGCCATAAGAACACACCTCTGGTTTTTATAATGCCAATCATTAGAAAACAGGATTTATTAGATAAACATTCCCTTTGGACATATCTGTTTGCAAGGGCGGGGGCAGGGGGGGTGGGGGAGCCCGGGCTCCAGGCTCACACCTCACCTGGTCTTGGAGGTGCGCTGGGCGGAGGGCGTGGACCAGGATGTGGGCTCCTGGGGGTGCCACCACTCATCTGGGGTGCCATCTTGTGGCTGTGATGTTAAATTAGAACCTGTATTCATTTTCTTCTCTCCAGGAAGGACCTTTTGTCTACTTGTCTTTTGTAGGAAACATTGCAGATTCCGAAGGCTTGATTGCCTCATTGTGTAAGTAATTTAAAATGTTTGCATTTGGAATATTTGAGGAGATTAATTGCAAGTGTGGCTGTCAATTAAATGAGTACCTGTAGCACAAATCGTAGGATTTCATTTGTATGAAATGTCCAGAGTAGGTGAATCTCTAGAGACAGACGATGGATTAGTGGTTGCCTGGGACTATACTTGGGGAGGGGAGGGGGGCAGGGGATGGAGAGTGAGTGACTGGTTAACGGGTTTGGGTTTCTTTTGGGGCGTTAATGAAATGTACTACAATTTCATTCTGATGATTCAGATCTGCGAATATACTAAAACCCACTGAATTGTACTTTTTAAATGGGTGAATTGTATGACATGTGAGTTATATCTCAGTAAAGCTGTATATTAAAATATGTTTATGGGGCGCCTGGGTGGCTCAGTATGTTAAACCTCTGCCTTCAGCTCAGGTCACAATCTCAGGGTCCTGGGATCAAGACCCGCATAGGGCTCTCTGCTCAGCAGGGAGCCTGCTTCCCACCCCCCCCACCCCCCCACCACCTGCCTCTCTGCCTACTTGTAAACTCTCTCTCTGTCAAATAAATAAATAAAATCTTTTAAAAAATATGTTTATAATGCAGATTGAAGGGTTTGCAGTATTTAAACTAGGTTTTCTATACTTTCAGTATCAACCTTCACTTTATCATATATATATATGACGTGTGTGTGTATGCATGTGTGTGTAGTCTTATAAATAATTTCCCAAACTCCTCCTGCTCTGAAGAGATATTACCTCATTTTGCCTACCTTCTTCTGCTACAGTAAATCAGTCAACATTCTGTCAGTTAGTATTGACTTTCTCTTGTGTACTGTGTCAAATCTGACAAACACGTGAGCCAGGCAACAGTAGGGTCCTTTGCCACCATTATAGAATTGTCTTATACAAGGCAACTTCTTTCAGATTTTGCGTCTGAAATTCTGCATTGTTTATCTCATTTCTCCCATAATTCTGGAATCGGGCCCTCCAGCCAGGACCTGTGTTGGGACTGCTGTTCATCACTCGTGTTAGGAAACTTCGAGAGAATCGAAGCAGCTATCATCAGTGCTTCTCAAAGCAAAACGTGTGTCATCTCTGATGCCTGTCAGGTCCTGGCCAGTGGTAGCTCAGGGAGGCTGAACCCCCGCTTCAGCAGTGAAGTGCTGCTGTTCACTTTCGTGTGTGTAATGGGATGAGTGGGCCAGATCAAACTGTCCCCGAGAGCTTTTGGGGAAGCCCAGGGGCCGGAGGACCAGCCTAAGTCATTGTCTTCCACCCTGGCTGCTTGGCCTGGCATCAGAGAAAGCAAAGAGCCCAGCTTTAGCCCAGTCCTTTGAAATGCAAATGTCTGACATGATCTTTGTCAGTCGTCCTCAGTTTACATTTTCTGCCTTAAAAAAAGTAAAAACTCATTTAACGGTGGTGTCCTCTATTAAGAAAATGAAAATCCACTAGATAGTGTAAAATCCATTAGATAATGTAAACTTCTCGGATGTTAAAGTGCACCAGATTGCCTTGGACTCTTGTCAAAATACAGATTCTGATTCAGAGGGGCTACGGTAAAGCCTCCCAGATGTTGATCTGCAGGCTGTCCTTTGATTCACCAGGATGTAGAGCTGGGCTATAACCATTACATGGACCCTGTTAAAGAAGAATTATTCATGACACTTGTTAAAGATGATGAAGAATTTACTCAGGAGGTACCCCTACAGGGGAGTCTTAATGGTAGGGAAGCGAGATCGGGCTCAACTCCAGATGCACCAAGGACAAGGGGAGCTTTATGGCCAGAAAGCAGGTGGGTTCCATAGATGGAAAATCACTAAGAAGAAACATCAAGAGTGGGGACCCTTAATTGACCAACTCAACAGGATTCATGCTGCAGGTAGGCCAGGATGATAGGATATGACATGGAGGGTAAGGAATTTGATCAGGTATCAAGAGTAATCAGGTATCTGCACCCCCATGTTCATGGTAGCATTATTCACAGTAGCCAATGCATGGAGACAACCTAAGTGTCCATCGATGGATGAATGGATAAAGAAGTTTGGAGGGGGGGAATTGTGCATATGTGTGTACAAATGCACATGTGCATGTGCACAATGGAATAGTATTTAACCATAAAAACAAAAACAAAAACAAGAAACACTGCCATTGTGACAACATGGTTGGAACTTGAGGGCATTATGCTAAGTGAAACAAGGCTGACAGAGAAAGACAAATACTGTATAACCGCACTTCTATGTAGAATCTTAATTTAAAAAAACGCTCAGACTCCTAGAAGAAGAGATCGGATTGGTGGTTACCAGAGGTGGGGGGGTGGAGATTGAGGAAACTGGATAAAGGTGATTAAGTACAAACTTGCATTTACGAGATGGTAAGCACTGAGGATATAATGTACAATATGATGGCTGTAGTTACCACTGCTGTAAGTTATCAAGAGAATGGATCCAAAGAGTTCTCATCAAAAGGAAGAACACACACCATTTTCTCTTCTTTTTTCTATCTATATGAAGAATGTATGTTCGCTGAACTCATTGTAATCATTTCATGATCTATGTAAGGCACGTCATCGTGACGCACACGTTAAACTCATACGGTGCTAGATGTCAGGGACGTCTCAGTAAAACTGGGGGGGAAATGTGAGCAAATACCAAGAATGGAGGACTTTTGCTACACTGACCCAGTAGGACTCTTGCTGGAACCGGACTAAGTGGGCCAAGGACAGAGCACTAGGTGGGGGCCTCGTCAAGGAGAGGGCTCCGAGGAGCCTGACTCAAGCTGGGTCAAGACAGTCTTTGTCACCCCTCACCTTCTCCTTATCTCCGCTCTAAGGGTGAAGGGCCCAGCCTTGGGAGACTGGGATCCTACTCCAGCCCTCAGTGCATCTTTCCCTCTAAGCCTCTGTCGGAGCCTGGCATCAGTCACAAAATAAATTATATCAATCCCATCGTTAGGCTTCTGAATGCTCTGCTTGCCCTTTTGCTGTGTGGGTGTTTACTCAGCAAAGAAATGGCTAGAGTTGACCAGCAGAGGCTTGAGGCACTGGGACTGTCTTGCTCTCTGGCATTCACCTCAGCCCCATGTGGGCGTGGACACACACACACACACAGTCTCCTTCAGCTCTGCTGAGTTAAACATGATTTCAGACATACCGTGTTCTCTCCACTCCAGGCCTGTGCCTTGGGCATGTTCCTCCCCGAAACACCCTACCCTTCGCCCAGTGCAGGGCTCACCTCTTGTGACATTAAGATCCACTAACATGTGTTGACAGCTGGTAAAATCCAGAGGGCCTCGCAGGCCTAACCCACAAGTCACCTCCCCACTCTGCTTCCTCAGTAGGAGCCAAACGACCCTCCTCATCCCCAGGACCAGGCACGGTGCCCGTGGATCCCTGAGGAGCGGGGTGCAGTTCCCTGCCAGCCCTCCGGATTCCTGGGAGAAGCCCGTCCCATCCTGCCGCAGGAACAAGGGGCCGCCCCATCCTCTTGAAGCCCCTCCTGGTTCTCTCTGGTTCTGAGTGCAGCACCCCTCGAGCCCCCATGGCTCGATGGGCACAGTGTCCTCTTTCCCCAGGCTGTGAGTGTAGGTGACTTGTAAATTGCCACCAACCTCATCTGTCCAGTGCCACCTGTTGTGTGTGGCCACCCCCAAAACCCAAGGGTGGGGCTCCCTCCTTCACCGACAGCAGGAAGGAGGAAGTAATCACACCTCACCTCCCTCATGTGGCCCAAGTGTTGCTTTCTCCATGTCTCACATTCAGTTGCCCTCACTTACTGTGCAGTTTGACCTCAGAATGGGAGCCCCTTGGGGGCCGCCTGTGTCCCCCATCCTGGTTAATACTGCATTCCCCAGGCCCCGCACAGAGAGCCTTCCCTGTGCTCCAGAAGCTTTGCTGAATTAAAGAATGAATGAATGGGGTTATTTTTGAATGTCTAAACACCCACTGATCTCTTAGTTCCTAAAACACTGACATTTTACGCTAATGATAATTCCTTAGATTTTTGGGTGCCGTAGTGGGAACATCTCAGGTTTTGTATAGAAGGTTTTTCTTTTTAAGATTTTATTTATTTGAGAGAGAGAATGAGCAGGGGGAGGGGCAGAGGGAGAAGCAGGGAGCCCGATGGGGGGCTCCATCCCTGTGATCATGAGGCAGACTTAGCCAACTAACCCACCCAGGTGCCCCTTTATATATGTTTAGATTTAGAGGAAAAACTTACTTTCACTATTATGTTGTTCTCCAATTGGCTCCTGGCTGGCAGTGGGCTCAGGACAGACAGGGCAGCTCTGCCTGCCCGGTGGTAGTGTCTGGCCTTTCGGAATCTCTGCTCAGCCTGTGTCTGTGTCTTTTCTCATTAAATGGCTAATCCTGTTTATTGGCCTTTCTGTGGGGACAGCCTTCATTAGACCGCTTTGTCCCAGGCCCCGAGGGATTGTAACTTTGGCCATTATTAGAGACTAGAGCTTTGTCCTGCTGCTCCGGCCAATCAGATTATGTAGCTAATAGTTGATCATTCGTGCCTTTTCTAAGAAATGTGAGAACAGTATTGAAAGCCAGAGAAGAGGTGGGACTTTTCATTTTTCACTCTGATCATTTAAGATCTTAGGACCAGGATGTATTACTTTGATAAATTAAAAAAAGAGAGAAGAGGGAGGGAAGAAGGAAGGAAGGGATGGAGGGAGGGAGGATTCTCCCAGTGCACGACTCTCAGACCGGCCCTAAAATGACTTTCTCACTTCATTTTTTCTAGAAGAAACCATCCTGATAATGGGGCCTGGAAACATTTCTTTCTTTTTTTTTTTAAACATTTCTTTTTTTTAAGGTTTTATTTATCCATTTGACAGACAGAGATCACAAGTAGGCAAGAGAGAGGCTGAGAGAGAGGAGGAAGCAGGTCCCCCACTGAGCAGAGAGCCCGATGCGGGGCTCGATCCCAGCATCCTGGGATCATGACCTGAGCTGAAGACAGAGGCTTTAACCCACTGAGCCACCCAGGTGCCCCGGCCTGGAAACATTTCTAAGGGCATACCCACTCCCTGGTGACCACAGTGGGGGCTTCTGTGGTAGCCGTTGTTAGTGACCCCTGTCTGGACCGAAACCCCCCGCCCCACCGTGTCCATCCAGGATACCTTCTGTAGTCCGGACTGGTAATTACCATCCCCCTACCTCCCCACCGCCCCCTCGGCGCTCGATTTCTCTTCAATTATTCATAAACACTTTTTAAAAAAATAAACGTTTCCTTAATAAAAATTTTCTCACATCTAGATTACATCTACAGACTTTATGTAGCAATTTTGAAGTAAGGAATTGTAATGCATTTACCAAGATAATTGTTAAGGATCGTCTTTGCAAAATCTGACCACGTTGAATTAATTTAGAATTCTGCTTATAGTGAAAAGGGCAGGGGCGAAGAGGATGCGCTTTGGGAACAAAATCCTTTTACAAATGTCACATGATGTTATTATTACTCGTTTCACCCAGCAAATGGGTGAATGAAGTTTTAGCTTCAGTCCTCCTCCTGTCCTCCACGAAGGCATTGTGGAGAACTTAGGGGGTGGCAGTTCTTTTTATCTCCTCCTTAGGGGGAAAAAAAGGTAATTTCCACTGACTGTCATAAAAGTGGTTGCCAGATGAGTAACAAAATGCATTTCACTTGTAGGGAAAGAATATGGCAAAGCTGATGCAAGATGGCTGTATTTTGACCCAACCATTGTATCTTTGGAAATTCTGACTGTTGTCCTGGATGGGTCTCTGGCATTAGTCCTCATTTATGCCATAGTCAAAGAGAAGTATTATCGGTAAGTGCCCTCCTCCTGGCCTGCTGAAGAGAGGACACACGTGAACTGTCCCAAAGCCCCTGTGGCATTTGGAATAGATTATGAACCATATTTATTTGTTAGATGAAAAGTAGAGTAAAGATGAAAATTGTCCTGTGTTAGGTAAGAATCATGGTGCCGCCAGGATAATTGCAGATCATTCAAAATAAAAGCTGAGAAATGTGATCGTAAGGACCAGGTAGTCCCTGTGTAGGCAAGAAAATGTGAAAAGCATTGAACGATTTTTCACCAATATTTTGGAAAATAAAAGGGTCATATTTCCATCCTTCCCCCCACCCCCAAATCACTCTAGAAAACTCCTATTCCACTTTACACCAAGTAAAGTCTCTTACATAATTTGAAATTAAATACGCAAGATAAATCTTTCCAGAAGCAGGTTGTGGAAGATGTGAGGAAGGCAGAAGAGAGGGGAGAGGAAGGAGGGAGATGGAAGACTAACCACCAGTTGTCAGTCAGATTCTGAGTCTTCACACTCTCTGCCCTCCCTCCTGCCCTTTCCCTTCCTCTCCTTCTTGCAGACACAATGACCTAGGGCAAACAGAATGCTATCCTGGGGACGATTCCAGAAACAATGTCAAGTAGGCACAATTGCATTCCATTTTCTAGCATCTTGAATCGAAGAAGTCATGTTTAAAGCTTCAATCACAAAATATCAGGTTGAATGGAACCTCCAAGTTCATTGAACCCACCTTTCCCCACCCAATTTTACTTAGATAGTTAGCGGGAGAAATTAAATGTCTTCTTGGTATCTTGTTATAACTTCAGCTCCATGACCTTGGTTGTAGACTCACTGCTTGCCCCATTTGGTAATTACTTGAACCATTTATAATATCTGCACTGTGAGTATTTACAGATGCATGTATCTCATTTACTGCCCACTGTAGTCTTTGAGGAAGGGACTGTTCTTACCATCCCCTTTTCCATCCCCTTTTCGGAGAGCACAGTAAAACTGTGGCTTGTAGCAAGATTCGAACCTCAGTTTCTCTTTGTGGGTGAGGTCTGACCTCAGTGAATCTTCCTAAGAATAGAATAGGATACTTGAGAGACCTTATTTAACTCTGAGAATAATCTAGAAAGGGCAGTATTGCCTCTCCCGAGGTTGCATGGGTCTTCCACTAATCAGACTGACTTGCCCCATCAAAGGAGCGCTGTGCAAAACCTGAGGTCCGACTTCAGAGAGGTCTTCTGCTGAGGAAGACTGCTTTAATGCTGCCTTTCGAGAAAAGATGTTAGGACTCGGGGTGTCAAGCTGCGCCGAGCTGACGGTTTGATCCCTTGTTTCTTTCTCTCTAACAGGCATTTCCTACAGATTACCCTGTGCGTGTGTGAATTGTATGGCGGGTGGATGACCTTCTTCCCAGACTGGCTTATGGGAAGCCCCAACCTCAACACCAACAATTGGCTCTACTTTGGGGTCTATCTGGTATTTTTCAATAGTGTGTGGATTCTAATGCCAGGACTGTTACTGTGGCAGTCATGGGTAGAACTCAAGAAAATGTATTACAGAGGAACCAGTTCAGGGAAAAAGTTCCAGTGAATTTTCAAAATCGCAGATGCTGGTATCTTGCTTTATAAGTCAGAATGGGTCAAACCTTTTTGGCTGGTCAAAATGTAATGCATTCCTGTGTACACTTTCTTTTTCTACTGTTGCTCCTCAACAGCCTATTTCAAATTGATTGTATGGTGGCAAGTTTTCATTAATTGTTTTTTGGGTTTTTTTTTCCCAATTAAATGACAATATGGGGAACAGAGAATACATTTTAACTTGTAATAAGAACACGTTTAATTATATGTTTTCATGGCTAGCATTAATTGTTCCACATTAATAAAACCAATGATCATAGAATACTGTAGAGCCTAGTAATTTTTTATTCCAAGAACATATTGTTGCCTCCTCTCATTTGTCTTTCGGTTTCTGAAGTGAAACCAGAGATGTAATGAATGCCTAGAAAAGTGTCTGGCACACATAGACCAGGCACGTGGTAGGTTGTGGTGGTTCTGTAGCTCTGAGAGCTCGGTCTGCATCGTCGTCCCCTCCTTCCAGTTGTCTTCTTCTCCTGCAGAGGCTGGAGGCTGTGGTCCTGGATGCAAAACTGGTTTCCCCTTTCAGAAATGCTTCCGTGAGATCTGGAGGGTAAAAGCGTGGAAATCATTTCGACTATTCCTCCCTTTTCTCCTGTTTATTTATTTATTTACTATTGTTATTATTATTGCCATTTTGTGGTAACACGTGAGGAGTTTTGCCATTTGTGTCCCAACTCCTAGGTACTGAGAGGCAGTTGGAATTGGGGGCATGAGAATGAAGTGTTTATGGGCTGAGTCGCTCCAGTGGTGGCCTCTTTGGTATTGTCTCCCTTGGGGGTGGGTTCGTTCTGTGGGCATCTGGGAGTCCTTCCTAGAAGCTTAGCCAATTACCTGCCCTTGCAACCTCTTAGTGAATTTTGTAAGCACCTCATTTCCTGGGCTAAATCCTCTTCAAATCTCCTAAAGGGATTTCTCTTCTCCACCAGTGTATCTTGACAATGGTATTTGTTGAATATTGAATAAGTAGAGCCAGACAAGTTTGAGGAATATTATATTACCACAGTAAAGCCTTTAGAAGTCCTGCAATAAAGAAACTTGATGAACTTGTTGAACCCCACTTTTTCCCGCTGTATTTACCAGACCACTTAAACAAGCGCGATGGTATTTCGTGGAACAGCAGTTAAGGAAGCACTGAGCAATGTGGTACCGCATCCATGAAATTAAAAGCAAACCAGTTGTCAATAAAGGTTTCAAACATAAAATACCATTTACTATGGCATCAAAACATTCTAATATTTAGGAAAACTGAAAGATGTACAAGAAAATAAACTATAAAATATTATTGAGAGAATTATATAAGATCCAAATACGTGCAGTGATAGGCCATCTTCAGATTTTAGGAAGGCTCAATATTGTAAAGAAGTCAGTTCTCAAATTGATAAATAGATTCAATCTTATCCCAATCAAAATCCCAAAAAATTTTTTAAAAATGATTATTAAGGGGCGCCTGGGTGGCTCAGTGGGTTAAGCCGCTGCCTTCGGCTCAGGTCATGATCTCAGAGTCCTGGGATCGAGCCCCGCATCGGGCTCTCTGCTCGGCAGGGAGCCTGCTTCCTCCTCTCTCTCTGCCTGCCTCTCTCCCTACTTGTGATCTCTCTGTCAAATAAATAAATAAAATCTTAAAAAAAAAAAATAAATAAAAATGATTATTAAGAGGGGCACCTGGGTGGCTCAGTGGGTTAAAGCCTCTGCCTTCAGCTCGGGTCATGATCCCAGGATTCTGGGATCGAGCCCCACATTGGGCTCTCTGCTCAGCAGGGAGCCTGCTTCCCTTCCTCTCTCTCTCTGCCTGCCTCTCTGCCTACCTACAATCTCTGTCTGTCAAATAAATAAATAAAACCTTTTAAAAAAATGATAATTAAGAAGTTGATTCTAAGATGTTTTAGGGGAGGGGTGCTTGGGTGGCTCAGTGGGTTAAGCCTCTGCCTTCAGCTCAGGTCATGATCTCAGGGTCCTGGGATCAAGTCCCGCATCGGGTTCTCTGCTGGGCAGGGAGCCTGCTTCCTCCTCCCTCTCTTTCTCTCTCTCTGCCTGCCTCTCTGCCTACTTGTGATCTCTGTCAAATAAATAAAAAATCTTAAAAAAAAAAAAAGAATAAGATGATTTAGGGGAATGATATGCCACGGGCTAGGAAAGCTAGTACAACATTGTGGAAGACCAGAGTTTGGGGCGCCTGGGTGGCTCAGTCAGTTAAGCTTCTGACTCTTGATTTCCACTCAGGTCATGATCCCAGGGTCCCGGGTGGAACCCCACATTGGGCTTCAGGCTCAGTGGGCAGTCTGTTTGGGGTTCTCTCTTTTCTTCTCCCCCTGGCACTCCCCCGACTCATGTGAGCTCTCTTTCTCTTAGGTATATACCTTACAGAAATGCTTGCTTTGTGCACCAGAATGGCAGCATTCATTTAATAATCCAAACTGGAAACAACCTACATGATTATATTGTGATACAGACATACAAAGGATTACTATACAATGAAAATTAACAACAACGTTACTCATAACAAAGGGGATGCATTTCTCAGACATAATGATAAACGAAAAAAATAGACTAAAAGAATACATATTGTAGGATTTTGTTTATAGAAGGTCCAAAATCCAAGTCAAACTGTGGTGTTAGAAAACCTGGTAAAGGCTGCCTTTGGGGAGGATGGTTGGCTGTAGTGATGGGGGAAGTCATGAGGGGATTACCAGGGGATGCTGGTCTTCTGTTTTTTTCATACGCGCGGTAGTTACAATTTGTGATAATTCAGCTGTACGCTTATGAATGGTATGCTTCTCTCTATATATGTTCTACCTCAGTTTTTAAAAAGTTGATTTTTAAAAACCCCTGGCACAAAGACCTGGAAACTGTCTCCAGTGGGCCGCCATGAAGAGAACACTGTGTCCTTGACTGTAAGTTCAGGATAATGGGCTGTTTCTAAGGGCATTCCCGATGCGGGCTGAAGGCAGGATGCCAGAGGGAGAGTCCAAAAGCCTTTCCATGAGGGATTACCTAGTTGTTTCCGGGACTTTGCTCTCTGCTGACCTGGCTCAATCCGAGGGTAAACAGAGTAGAGAAAAATGGATGGGCTGCGGAACCCGCAGGCAGCCCTGAAAACATGATGTCTCTCAACAGAATTTTTGCTGAGTGTTGATTGGGAGAGAAATGGGGATTATAGACTTTGACAGGAACTTGGAGTACAGATACGTGCTGCTGTCAAAGAAGGACAGATCGAAATGTTTTCACAATGAAGGGAGTTGGGGAGACATTGGTGTCCCGGTGTGAAAACCTAACAGATCAGGGTAGATAGAAACCCTCCTCCCTGTCAGAGAGAGTTGGAGACAAGGTATAAAATTCTCTATTTCATTGATCCTAAAATAGATTTTTTTCCTGCATATTTTAATATTTTTTTAAAATTTTAACTGATTTTTTATTATGTTATGTTAGTCACCAGTATTTTAATATTTTAAAAATTAGAATGTGTTGTACAGTTGCTGTGCCATAGTTAGTTGGCAGGGCTTTTTCATTTTCTTTCGAAGTATGATGTATCTTATAACTGATGATATCTCAGATCCAGTTAAATAAGTCACTACCTTCAGTGTTGCTCCTTCAAGCCTCAGTATCTTGAGCTACTTGGAGTCTGACAGTTCAAAATTTATTTTGGAAGCCTCAGTTTTGCTTGGACCCTTAGGGATCACTTACTTTAATATCTCCCACCCTTCCCCCCATCCTTCACATTTGCTGCCTGGGAGCCAACTGTAGAAGGCCTGCTGTGATGAATATATAAAATGATTTGCAGTGGATTACTAATAGCTTATATTGTAAGTAACTAGATTCCTGCAAACAAGTCAGTCTGTCCCTCCCCAGTATTTGCTTACACTGTAAATTTCCTTTGCAAATTCTTCCCTTCCAGATAACTGTTGAGGCAAAGAATCAGCATAACCAATCTCAATTCCCGGTCTGAATGATAGTTTCTTTGTATTTAATTATGTTAATTCTACAGTTCCTGAAGTACTGGCACCCAGGCTCTAGGAAAAGTCTACAGATTGCAGTATGAAAGTGTAAAATAACACCTCGCCAGAGACTGGCTCGACGGAAGACAAAATGCCAAAAGTTGGGGAGAGAAGCCTTTGTTTTTCTTTAAAGTTATTATTAAAATCCACTAACTTTTTCTTGTTTGTTATGAAAGCTAGAGTTTGAATGCAAGGATAAATTTATACAGAGAATCACTGGGCAAAGCCTTATATGAAAAAGGTTAACTGTTGCCATCCTGAATTGTAATTAAGTGCCCACGAGGTGCTAGGTAGGGCCCGGCAGCCCTAAGCATAATGTGAACTAACCTCTGGGCTTGTCTACCCAGCGCCCTTTTAGAGTCTCTGCACTTTCCCCTCCCACTTAACCACTGCTGGACCCTCCAAGACCCCAGACCTGACAAAATCCATTTCCCATCACCAATTCCTTATGGGAAACAACTCACATCCATTCATTAATATTAAGGTGTTAATAACTGATTATACTTTGCCCCATTACCCTTCCTGAATGTATTTGCATAAAAAATGTATGACACAATTGATAATTTTGCATTGCCGAAAACCGGAAAATTCAGATATGCATAAAGAAAAAAATAATTATACCCAGAGTCGTCAGGAAGAACCACTATTACAAATTTAGTTTCTAGTTCTCAAGCTCTTATCTGTGCATGTATTAACATTTTGGGGAGACTTTAACATTTGAAGTAGGACTTTAACACCCCTTCCTTCCTCTCTCTCCCTTGCCCTAACTTATTATCCAAGGAGGATCTGTTCTACGTGGACACGCAAAACCAACTGTGGAGAGTATTCTAGAACATGCCCCCATTCTCGAGAAATGCATGCACTGACAGAGGTGGAGAGGTAGAGTTTATCATTTATTTTTGGAAACTGCTTTCCGTAGATGCTTATGTTAACACAGATCAGGTTGACATCTTAAAATATTTGACTGGCCACCTCCCAGCTCTTCAAGGGAGGGATCAAGTGTGCTGAGCGTGCTGTGGTGTTATGTCCTACGTGTTAATCCCTTCCCTTCCAGAAGCCTTCCCTCAGTCCCCTGAGAGTCAGAGGGAAGGACTCCGAATTCTTATAGCCCTTGTCCGTGTCACTTAAGCGGCCCTGGGTGGCC